GGTAAGAGCATTGAGGCTGACAGTGGGAACAGGGAGACTGTTCATGGGAGTGAGAAAACACATTCTGGGCAGCAGCACAGCAGGCGTAAAGGTCTGAGTTGCTGGAGCCAAGATTAAAATTTAACTGTGTTAAAACATCAGCAATGGACAGAAAAGTGCTGGGAATTCCTGCTTTTTATACTTCAAAACCTGATGTTTCCATAATTTTCTTATTTTATCCTGAAAGATGTGTTAAGAGCTGGGGATATATTTGCAACCACTTCTCTGCATATAACTCAGCGGAATACAAAAGGCTAAGTTACTCATAATTGTTACCATTTTTTTCTTCTCTTAACACTGACTTTTTAAAAAGTAGAATCCTCTTGATTTGCTGTATAAGAATATTAATCAGATGAATACAGATTTGTGGATCTAGTGAAAGCATCTCTAAGTAAACTTACAGAATTATTATTTAGGCTCTTAATTCTCTAATTGGATGTTATTGTTTCTAAGGTCTCCTGTCTTTGGCATAAATTAATATATGCCTAAAAATAAAAAGTTAAAGATTATAGAAACACTAGTTTCCATGGTGGCTAGGATTATTCAGCTGAGTGATAAACCCACATGGTAGCTGAATCATGAATAAACCCTCTGATTTCCGCTAATCATTGCTCATACACTTAGAGGCTGTCACCGTTGTTTTAAAGGGAATGTATATAAATGCTTATTTTAAAAAATCAGAACAGATAACCTTTATTGTCTTATGAACTCTCCAGAATACGTTGGTTAACCCCAGAAAGTTTGAGTCACCTGTGAAAAAGCTCCACTGTATACTCTAGTGTCTCCTTGTTCATCCTGCAGGTCTCAGCCCAGCCTCTTCTAAGTCATTCCCATCCTGCCCAGGTCTAGGTTCCATACCTTTGCTTTATGCTCTCCCAGATCAGCCTGCACAGCTCCTATGACAACACATGTATCACTTATTGTAACTACCTATTTGTCTTTATATCCATCCCACCAGGCCAGAAGCTCCTTGGGGGAGAGATTGTGTCTTCTCACTCCATTCTGTTTTCAACCTGTAACACACAACACATCATTGATGCTTAAAATCCATTTTGTTTTAAAAAATAAAGTTACGGTAAAGTGTACATAATAGCTAAGAAAAAAACTAGCCAAGTGACTAGATTTGGTTCAAGTAACAAGAGGGTAAGAATACACTAAGTGCTGTTTATTTGTTACACTGGGTACTTTTTAGGAAGTTAGGCAAGATTAACTTGCATTAACAGAATAAAGTTGATAGTCATCACTATTTTTTGTTTTAGTTTCATTTTATTTATTCGAGAGATACCCAAGACAGTGTGAGTGGGGAGGGACAGAGAGAGGGAGAGAGAATCCCAAGCAGGCTCTGTGCTAATAGCACAGAGCCTGACACAGGGTTCGAACTCACGAAACCACGAGACCATGACCTGAGCCAAAACCAAGAGTCAGACACTTAAACAACTGAGCCACCTAGGCACCCCATCACTATTACTTTTCTGTTAGGCTTACCATTAGGTGCCTTGCAACAGCCCCATTAGATTTTATAGATGAAAATGAGACTCAAAAAGTTGAGAGAATGTGATTTGCCCAAGGATGCAACTTAAAAATTCATACTCAATCTGTCTGACTCAAAGCCTTGGTCTCTCTCGATAAAAAGAAGCAGCCAGGATGGGTGAAAAAGTATTCTTCAGTACTTACTCATATAACGTTCAGAATACAATTTTTTTATTTTGTTTGCTCTACTTGAAAAGAAAAGAGTAGCCTCTGGAGAGAGAGATCTGAAAAAAACTGTTGGAGAGTTAAGGCACTAAAGAGAATTTCCTTGGAGAGGTCTCTAGTCTGTGGCTACAGCTGTTGGAAGAAATGGCCAAGAGGGTAGAAGCAGTGGGGAACTAGATTTATGTGGAATATGATATTTTCTAAGGAGAGATTTTTAAAAATAGAATGGCTTTTTCAAAATTCAAGCCCTGTTTGAATAGTGGTATTACTGATGAAATTCTTGTAAGCATTTTATATTTCACGAGGAACATTCAACAAATTTGTAATTCAGCCACATCTCTGGGGTAGGTAGTAGAATTTTTCCTGCTTTTCAAATGACGATATGAAGAGATTTTGATTTGTTCAGATCCTCCTGCAGCATGTCCCTGGTAGATCCAAAAAGTGTCTGAAGTCTGCTGACTCAAGATTTCATGCTATTTCCACTTTAATAGGCAAGTGACCATGTATCATGCAAGCTATATAAGAAATACTCATATTTGGGGAAGAAATCAGACTGATTATCAAGTTATTTTCTGACTTTGAAATTTTCTTATTTTCTGAAGATGAAAATTTGACCTCATTTGTTTGTTCACTACTTCTTTGAAGACTTTGCCCAACCCATTTCCCAAATAAATGTTTGTCTTTAAACTTTGTTTTTTCCCTTATTATGTAAGTAGTTTCTATAAAAGCTTGTTCTTCTCTTTTTTGTATTCCAGTCTTTTGCAGTTTCATACCTGATTACTTAGCAGCCCCTTCTACTGCATCTTTAGGAAGCTGGAAAATCCTAGTGAGCCAGTTTCCCCTTTTCATTACTTCCTCCCTCAACTGCCCTTCCTCTAATTTAATTTTCCTATTGAGAACACAAAAATCTTTGCTCTTTTATTGTGACATTTGTGACTGTGGTATCTGGTTTATTTTTTTCTAATTCACTTACATTGTTTCCAATGAGTAGAAGTATAACCTACCTTTAACCATAAATTACCAGCCTGATGATAGTCTCTACCTTATCACTGATGCCATCTTCAAGTTTTTGGTACCTTTCTTGCCCCTTTGATCATATTCCTCTCACTTGTAAGGTCTCCCCTATCTCCGTGTGGTTTTCATCGTTATTTTCACTCATATTTGTTTCTTTCATCTCTGGGTTCTTCCTTGTTAGCCGTATCCACTGTTACCCTTCTGAAGCCACAAAGTGTATCCAACAGAACTCCACTCACTGTTAATGACTTCATTGTTATACTCTCCTCCCCAATTCTTTCGTATCTTGGTTAATGGATTGCAAATTGTGTCCCATGGAGTATATGGTTCTGTAGTGATCCTTCATGGCTCCAAAAGACAAAAACACAACTCAGCTGTGCTTGAATTAATTCCCAGAGCTCAAGGTTTGTTTTTCCTTTGTCTTTCTGTATTCCTTCCAGCTGCCTGTTCCCCCTACCTCATCTACATTGGTTTGCACTTCTCCCACATCTGAATTAGTTTCTCCTCTGCTCCCAGGGTGTTGTCATCTTGAATACTAAAGTCATTTTGCTTTATAGTCCTTTGTTTAAAGCCAGTGAAAGCCCCTTTTATTCACAATCCTATTCCCTAAGTTCAAGACAGGGCCTTTTCCTTGGTAGGAGCTCAATAAACATTTAATAAATTGAATTCCATTGACATTCAACCCATAACCATTTCCAGAGCTTTCCAGCTTCTTATCTTGCCTCCATCCCCTCCTCTACTTTAATCTGTTAGATGAATTAAACATCATTCTTCTCATAACAGCTCTCCCTTGGTTATTTTCCTATTGTTTATAGGCTAAAGTCCACTTGACATTCATTTCAAGACCCACACATTAGTCTCTACCATTGCATCCTTACTTTTCACTGTTGCCTTAATATAAACCTTTTATTCCATTCATACTGTCTATTAACTGTTCCTGAAATTTTTATTTCCATTCTTTTGTTCTTGTTATTTCTCCACCTGGAATGCCTTTACTGTCCTTCTTTTCTTAGTTGATGCTAATTCTACCTGACCTTCAAGAAGTCTTCCCTAATCATTCTAATATTTGTACTTTTAGTAAATAAGTATATGTTATTTGGTACTTTATTACTTACTGATCCATGACCCTTACTTTATGGTTGTTTTGGGACATTATTAGATTTTATATGTATGTGTATTTTATCTCCCTTGTTAAATTGCCAATAATTATTAAGTGAGACCAGCAGTCAAAAATAAACTTTCTACTTTGGAATCCGCAGTCAGTTTTCTGTTTGGATTTGAATTGTTCATTCTTTGGGTTTTTGAGATTGCACATCAATAAATAAGGCGAACTGAATTTCTTAAACTGTTGTGTGTTTTGCAAAAAGAAGAAGAAGAATAAGGAAAATTGCTCCCAGAAAAATTGTAAAGATAAAGATCGCTAATACATTAATATTTTTTTATTGTAAGATGTAATGTGTCAGATGGTGAAAAGTAAAGCAGGGAAGTTGCAATTTTATTTATTTTTTACTTTTAAATGTTTTACTTATTTTTGAGAGGGAGTGCTCACGTGTGAGTGCCAGGGGGATAGAGGATCTGAAGTGGGCTCTGCGCTCACAGCAGAGAGCCGGATGTGTGGGGCTCAAACTCACCAACTGTGAGAGAGCTGAAGTCAGACAGCCAATTGACTGAACCACCCAGGAGTCCCTATTTCTTGCAATTTTAAATAGATAGGCAGAGAAGCCCCTCAGAGAAGGTGAAATTTGAGTAAAGACCTGAAGGAAATATAGGAGTGATTATCTGGGAGAAGAGTACTCCAGCCAGGAGGACAACATGTGCAAAGACCCTGGAGCAGAATGTGTGTATGTGTATATGTATATGTATTTATATGTAAGCATATATGTATATATATTTATAGTTTGTATATATCATATACAGAATGATTAAGGGGAAGAGTAGTTGGAAAGATCACAATGGCAATGGCAGAGAGGACAAGATATTGTAGGACTAGGTAAGCCATTGGAAAGACTTCACATTGTTTATTACACTCCTTGGTATTTTCTATGGAGTACTTTGCATAGGAATATGTAATTTTGAATTTTAATAATAACTGTAGACCATCCAAGAATGAGGTACTTTTAGGCAAATTTTAAGAACTTTATATTCTCTCTGAAGAAGTGGTAATAACTCAAGAATACCAATGATGAGAGTTAACTAATATTAGTTCTTTTGTTTTATGGTTTGTAATTACAACTTTTTTTCTTTAACCATAGGTAAATTAACATGATGGATTTCTCCAAGCTACCCAAAATACTTGATGAAGATAAAGAAAGCACATTTGGTTATGTGCATGGGGTCTCAGGGCCTGGTAAGTAATATGTAATAATCTCAATAGTAAAGATTCCTAACTTCAATTAATGTCTTTTCAGGGCATTTTAGGTAAAATACGCAAGTTTCTGTTCACTCACAGAAGTTCTATTTGCCCCTAAAAGATTTCATAGTTGCTATAAGACTGAGGTAATACCTCCATCATAAGAGCTTCTTTAGCATTCATTACCTTTTTTTTTTTTAATCAAGTTTATTATTTATTTTGAGAGAAAGCATGTGTGCAGGTGAGTGGGGGAGGAGCAGAGAGAGGGGAATAGAAAGGGAGTGAGAGAATCCCAAGCAGGGTACAGAGCCTGATGTGGGGCTTGATCTCATGAACCATGAGATCATGACCTGAGCTGAAATCAACAGTTGGACACTTAACTGACTGATTCACCCAGGCACCCCTTTTGCATTCATTATCTTAAGTTGATAATTATTGGGCACTAATTTGTGATATCCTATTTATTATGTATGTGTGTAATTGGTGTTCAGAGTTTTAGATATGTCTTAATTTTTTGTTAAATCTGAGGTGAAATAAGACTATATAATATAAAATTTATTGCTTTTAGTATGTAATACCTTGCAGATAATAGGCATTCAGTCAATATATGTTAATGTGGTTTGAACGTCAGTAATTTTTTTCAGAGCATTTCTCAACAATATCAACCTTGGCTCTTTGAATATATAAATGCTTCTGGATGTTTATTTTACATTTTCACATAACTAGGTATCTGTGGGAAAGTTTTATGACATGAGAATGATAATAGAAAGCAGTTAAAAACTTTGTTTTATTCTGCCAAAACTTGGGGTACTGCATTTTAAATAATATATCTCATTCTAGTTTTCATTCATTTTACTCCAACTACAAAATATGATTCATATTTTCCAAGGTAAAAGCCACTCATTGATTTATAATCCTTAGTGCCATGGATACTTATTTTTCCTTATGTCTCTTTTTTTTTTTTTATTTGAGAGAGTATGTGTACACAAGCAGGGGAGAGGGGAGAGTATGTGTACACAAGCAGGGGAGAGAGAGGGAGAGGGAGAGGGAGACGGAGAATCTTAAGCAGGCCCCATGTTTAGCACGGAGCCCAGTGCAGGGCTTGATCTCACGACCCTGGCATTATGACCTAAGCCAAAATCAAGAGTCACTTAACTGACTGAGCCACCCAGGTGCCCCTCCTTATGTCTTTTTATAAACCTCATGCTATAGTCTTTTTGTTCTAATCACAGTGGAGGTAATGACCCTTTTCTGGTGTTTATGCAAATGAGGTCAGTAAGTCACAGTGTTTATTTCTCCCTAAGAAGTTTCTATAGCTTAGAACTTGGTGTTTGAGCTTGAACTCATTGGCAAAAACACATTTCAGTGTTGTCAGTTTCTTTTGCCTTTCCAAGTAACAGTTTTCCCCTTGATTGATGATCAGAAGGGTCTTTAGGAAAGGCAGGCTATATTCAAGAACTTTTAGGGAAAAGGCAAAAAAGAATACCATCAAAAGAGTTTAGGTAAAAATATTTGTCTGAAACTTGTAGTAAACTGCTCCTAGAACCTATTTCTAATTCTTAAGTACTTAATAAAATGATAGAAAAATGGCATACTTTTGGGTTTATGAAATATGATTTAAAATTTTAGTTATCTCTGACATTTCAGTGCATCTTAACTCTTATATAGTAGGTATAGAGGTAAATATTTATGAAATTAACAAATCTTCCTTGTTCTAACACAAGTTAATTAAATATTAATACTTTAATAGTTTCCCCTTGGATATTAGTACATAGTTCTAATTAATTGTATCAGGAGGCTAAATACATCAAAAATAGAGTTATTCTGGGCTGCCTAGGTGGCTCAGTCCGTTAAGCATCTGACTTCAGCTCAGATCATGATCTCATGGTTCGTGAGTTTGAGCCCTGCATTGGGCTCTACACTGTGCCCTGACAGTGCAGAGCCTGCTTCAGATTCTCTGCCTCTCCCCCACTTGTGTGCATGCATGTGCACATGATCTCTCTCTCCTACAAAAATAAATAAACGTTAAAATAAGTAAGTAAATAAAACTATGGGGCGCCTGGGTGGCTCAGTCGGTTGAGCGTCCGACTTCGGCTCAGGTCATGATCTCGCGGTCTGTGAGTTCGAGCCCCGCGAGCTTACAGCTCAGAGCCTGGAGCCTGCTTCGGATTCTGTGTCTCCCTCTCTCTCTGCCTGTCCCCTGCTCATGCTCTGTCTCTCTCTCTCTCAAAAATAAATAAACATTGGGGCGCCTGGGTGGCGCAGTCGGTTAAGCGTCCGACTTCAGCCAGGTCACGATCTCGCGGTCCGTGAGTTCGAGCCCCGCGTCAGGCTCTGGGCTGATGGCTCAGAGCCTGGAGCCTGTTTCCGATTCTGTGTCTCCCTCTCTCTGTGCCCCTCCCCTGTTCATGCTCTGTCTCTCTCTGTCCCAAAAATAAATAAACGTTGAAAAAAAAAAATTAAAAAAAATAAATAAATAAATAAACATTAAAAGAAATAAATAAATAAAAAATAAAAATAAAGTTATTGCTACACAGATCTGAAAATGTACAACTTTCCCCACCTACCAGAAAAGTAACTTTTACTTACTTGACAATGTGATCTAAAATAGTAAGTATAAATTCTGGTTCAGTATTTATAAGAAATAGGAATTCTTGGGGCACCTGGGTGGCTGTCAGTTAAGCGTCTAATTTCAGCTCAGGTCACGATCTCACAGTTAGTGAGTTCAAGCCCCGCATCGGGCTCTGTACTGACAGCTCACAGCCTGGAGCCTGCTTCGGATTCTGTGTCTCCCTCTCTCTGCCCCTCTCCTGCTCATGCTTTGTCTCTGTCTTTCAAAAACAAATAAGCAGTAAAAATAGATTTTAAGAAATAGGAATTCTTAATCGGGACTTCACCCAGTGGTAATGACTAATTATAAACATCCTTATGAAAGACAATTTTTTTTTCTAGATTTTATTTTTTAGGTAATCTGTACCTAACATATGGGGCTCAAACTCACAGCCCCGAGATTAGGAATCACATGCTCTACTGATTGAGCCATTCAGGCACCCCTGAAAAAAATTTTTTGGATGCATATGTGAGTTTTTCTAGGTAGAGCTGTTATTAGTTTATCAAAGAGGTCCTTGTTTCAGAAGAATTTTAAGAGCTACTAATGTGAAGTGTTAGAAATGAAAGTAAAGATGTTGTTTTAAATATTATTTCTCAAAGGAATAAACAACACAGTTTTGTTTCTCAAAACAACACAGCAAACTGATACTTGTGTGGCATTCTGCCGTGCAGCTCTTGTTCCAATTTTAGTTTAAACATTTTTTTTTTTATTCCCAAATCCATCATTCCATGTATTATAGCAACCGGCATGATCAAAATGTGTCTCGATGCTGCTAGGTTTGCCAAAGAGAACTTTGGACTTTTTGAAAATAATTTTCATCTGTATTATGTAAATGAATAAGCTTTAGCCTAACACATATATTTTGTTTACCTCTATATCGGATGCTAAAAATGCATATTTTTGTGAAACTGTATGTATGTTTCATAGTGGGTGTTTTCTTTTTCTTATGAGTATGTAAGAGAGGTGTATATTTGGGTTAACCGGATATTTTAATTATCTGTAACTATTCACAGGATCTTAAGTTTTCACAACACTCATTTGTTCTTTTCAGTGGTTACAGCCTGTGACATGGCAGGTGCAGCCATGTATGAGCTGGTGAGAGTGGGCCACAGTGAGTTGGTTGGAGAGATTATCCGACTGGAGGGTGACATGGCTACTATCCAGGTGTATGAAGAAACCTGTATCCTTTTTGGTTCAATTTCTTGCCACTTTCTACAAGTCAGAATTTAGGGATTTATAGCAAAGGTGGAAGTAGCAACCACCAATGATATCAGACGCATGAAATGCTGGTGTTATAAAGAAACATGATTTTTACAGGAATTTTGAGGAAAGGTACTAGGAATTAATGATCTTATTTTAAGAAATTAATATTATCTTCTGAACGTTCATTGCTGTTTGTATTTTGGTAGTTCACAAACTTTAGGGGAAACCAATTAGAATTTTTCTTAAGAGTGACACATATTGTAGAAGAAAGCATAAACAGAATTAACAATATCAATTTATATGGTTAAAATTCTCCAGTCATGATTTCTGTTTAAAATAGTGAATTCATAAATAAATCAGTCACTACTGTCTGCCTGTATTCTAATAAATAATGCTAGATGACATGTTACATTATGGTTTTAGCACTAGGAAATCTTTACTTCTTTGGTTATCATAATTTTGGCTTTTAGGCATAGTATTTATGTTCAGTTTTCTATGAAAAAGATAATGTGTTAAACTTTGTGAAGAGAAACTACTTTTTTTTCAACTTAATTTATGTGTTTTACTTAAATTGACTCTTAAGGGTAGTAGTAATTCTCCTTATTTATTATTATTATTTTTGTTTAAGTACAGTTGACATACAATATTTTATTAGTTTCAGGTGTATAACATAGGGATTTGACAATTATATACTTTATGAAATGCTCACCATTATAAGTATAGCTACCATCTTACCAAAGTTATTACAATATTATTAACTATATTCTGCATGCTATACCTTTTTATCCCTGTGACCAATTTGTTTTATAACTGGAAGTTTGTACCTCTAATCTCCTTCACCTGTTTTACCCCTCCACTCAACCCTCACCCCTCTGGCAAACACCAGTTCTCTGTATTTATGAATCTGTCTCTGTTTTTGTTTGTTCATTTGTTTAATTTTTTAGATTCCACATTAACATGAAATTATATGGTATTTGTTTTTCTCTATTTTTCTCTGAATTATTTCATGTAGCATAATACCTTCTAGGTCCACCCATATTGTCGCGAATGGCAAGATTTCATGCTTATTTATGGCTGAGTAATATTCTCTTGTGTAATGTACACATATGCATATATGTTACAGTGTTTTAAGTATATATACACACAGGTATGCTGCATCATCTTTACCCATTAAATCTATCAGTAGACACTTCGGTTGCTTCCATATTTGGCTGTTGTAAATAATGTTGCAAGAAATACAGCGGCGCTAGTTTTTCGATTATTTTACTAAGATTTATTTGGTACAACTTTTTTGTCATACTAAAATACATTTTTTTCAGGTAATTTGTCTCTCTGTGTGTGTACTGGTGTGCTAAATCAAAACAAAATCATCTGGAGATTTAAATAAAATTAGAAGTCTTTGTAGCTATGAAATCATGACTAATCAAAAAGACTTTTTTAAAAGACTTTTTCTATTGTTAGCTTTATCTTTTATTCAATCTTTTACGTGGTTTGAAGATTTAAGATAAAAACAAATGAAGGTGTATACAGTGACAACCCTCTTCACCATTGTCATCCTGTATTTGGCCAATTTTCAAAACACATGCATGCGTGCAGCCATTTTTATTAATTCCTTTTATTGTATACCCTTCTAGGTTGTTAATTGCATATATGAACCAATATAAATATGTTACCTTTCTTCCCTTTTTTCCCCAGAAGACAGCATACTATATGCACTGTTCTGTACCCTACTTTTTTTTATGCAAGATGGATAGGTATGTGAAAAATATAGGAAAATGTTAGTGGTAGGATCTAACTGGTAGATATGAGAGTTCACTGTAAAAGTCTGAACTTTGCTCTAGGTTTGAAAAGTTTCATAATGGAAATGAAAATATATTTTGGAGATCTTTCTAGAGCAATTCATAGAAGCTCCTATTCTTTTTTTACAGCTACATAGAATTCTATCATATGAATATTATAATTTATTGATCTCTTTAATGATAGAAATTTTGGTTGTATCTAGTCTATATGTGTTATAAACAGTGTTATAGTGTAACTATAGGAGGAATTCACAGAAGTTGGATTCTTGGGTCAAGATTTATGCATTTAAATTTTTTATTTTGCTGAATTGCTGTCAATAAAAGTTGTACTGATTTTACTCTTGTCAACAAGTATGTGAGAGCAGCGTGATTTCAGTGTGCTTACTTGCAGGTTGTATTCTTTTGCTTTCCAAAACCACTTCTTAATTCTTAAGATTTTAAGTTTTTGTGCCACGTACTAGTATCCTTTTTAGGGGATTGATATTCCTCAGTAGTATAGCTGAAATCATGTATTAAGGAGAGTTGGAACAATGTATTAACCATATATCGCTGCTGTTTTTAGCTCTGTGGTTCCCAGACTGTGCAGAAGGCATACTGGGCAGCTGCAGCAAACTCATGTGATGCCCCAGGATATTTAAAAGTTTTGAGGTTAACACGGGAGTATTAGACATGTTGTCAGACATCACGTGAACCAGTAGCTTCAGTTTAATAAACACTTTCATTATTCGGCCGCACTGTATTCTTGTCAATGATGTCATATCTTTGGGAAGCTGAGTGTTTGGGGATTGCTAAGCTGAAAAGCAAGTATTGTACAAAAATGAATGTGGAACAGGTATTCAGTTTGATTCCAAGGTTTGAAAATGGTACAGTGCCCAGTAAGCACTTACATCCCATTTGTAAGAATTGATGTTATTTAAAAATGAAATTAAAAAATTTTTTTCTCTCAGTCTATATATTTTTCTCTCAGAGTGTCATTCAGTTATTAGGACATACATATTTATTAAGTTGTTTGGATATAACTATTTAATAAGTGGAATTATTAGATAACATCTTTTGTCACAGTGACCTGTGGCCTGAAAAAGTTAATGGAACACTAAGGATGTTGTGAACTGAGAAAGTTTGAGAATTTCTGTTTTAGCTTCTTAAGTATCATTTCCTGTTAAACTGTGATACTTCCTTTTTATAGAGTCTCTAAACTTTCAGAGTGAGTTTTCCTCAACTACTGTTTCTAGCGGGTGTGTCTGTTGGAGATCCTGTACTCCGCACTGGTAAACCCCTCTCAGTAGAGCTTGGACCTGGCATCATGGGAGCTATTTTTGATGGTATTCAGAGACCTTTGTCAGATATCAGCAGTCAGACCCAAAGTATCTACATTCCCCGAGGAGTAAATGTGTCTGCTCTTAGCAGAGATGTCAAATGGGATTTTACACCTTGCAAAAACCTGCGGGTATGTCTTTGAAACCAAGATTTCTAACATTGGTGAAAGAATGTGAAATGGATGTTTAATGAACTATTTTGTACTCTTTAATAAAAATAGACCACAGAAGTATAGTTTAATTTTTTCTTTAAATCTGCTAGAAGAATTATAGAATATGTTTTATTGATAAATGAAGCAAATGATTTAAGTAATAGCAGCAAGGATGAATCTGCCTGATATTTATTTGAATGTTAAACAGCTTGATGTTTATTTGAACATTAAACAGCCAATACATTTGTTCTCTAGGTTGGTAGTCACATCACTGGTGGAGATATTTATGGAATTGTCAATGAGAACTCACTCATCAAACACAAAATCATGTTACCCCCACGAAACAGAGGAACTGTAACTTACATTGCTCCACCTGGAAATTATGATACCTCAGTAAGTAGTATATACACTTTATCTCATAGTGTGGCCCTCCCTGATAGTCCCAAGAGTACCCATTTTAGTGTCCTAAATAGCCATAGAAATGATACTTAATGTGCGAGTTTTAATTAACTCCCATAATTTTTTTTATCATGATGATTTAATACCCTTATGTATTGCAAAATGATTACCACATAGGGTTAGTTAACATTTCCATCAAAGCACTTTACCTACTTAACCTTTGTGTGTGTGCAGTGAGAACAATTAAGATCTACTCTTTAGCAACTTCCAAGTATATAGTACTATACTGTTATGTACAGTCATCATGTTGTACATTGGATCCCCTTATGCATTTTTTTTCAAGTTTTTATTTAAATTCCCATTAGTTAACATACAGTATAGTGTTAGTTTCAGGTGTAGAGTGTAGTAATGCATTACTAACACCCAGTGCTCATCACAATAAGTGTCCTCCTTAATACCCATCATCCATTTATAACACCTCCTCCTGCCCACCTCCCCTCCAGTAAATCTCAGTTTGTTGTCTATAGTTAAGTGTCTGCTTTCTGGTTTGCCTCTCTTTTTTTCCCCCCTGTGTTCATCTGTTTTTTGTTTTTTTTTCTTAAATTCCACATATAAGTGAAATCATATGGTATTTGTCTTTGAGTGATTTGTTTTCACTTTTAGCATAATACTCTGTAGCTCCATCCACATCATTGCAAATGGCAAGAGTTCGTTTTTTATGGCTGAGTAGTATTCCACTGGGTGGGTGGGTGTGTGTTTTAGCTTCTTGCTAGGACACACACACCACATCTTCTTTATCCATTCATCAGTTGATGGACATTTGGGCTCTTTTCATAATTTGGCTATTGTTAATAATGCTGCTATAAACATTGGGGTGCATGTGTCCCTTTGAATCAGTATTTTTGTATCCTTTGGGTAAATACCTAGTAATGCAATTGCTAGATCATAGGGTAGGTCTATTTTTAGACCTTTGGAACCTTCACTCTGTTTTCTACAGTGGTCGCACCAGTTTGCATTCCCACCAAGAGTGTAAGAGGGTTCCCCTTTCTCTACATTCTTGCCAACACCTCTTGTTTCCTGTATATAACTGCCATCATTATTTTTTATAAAGATTTTATTTTTGAACTTGGGCTTGGGAATACAAAAAGCAGAACATAGTGAGTTATTTTTTTTTAAGGGAAAGCAATATCTAATATAACATTTTTCCTGCTTCTTAATTTATGCTCATCTTAAAGCCCTGATTCTTTAGGCATAGAGTAGTCTTTGATTTTTAACTGTTAATCTATATTTGCATTATTAATTGTATAATGGATTATATGAATTCTAACTCTGGGTAGGTTGTTTAAAACTTAGTCCTTTAATGTTATTGCTAGTCAGTAAAATACAGTAGACTTATAATAGTCTTTGTGGGTATGAAGATAACTTTATTAAGAAGACTATTGTAACAAATAATCTGTTCCAGATGAAATGTGAGTGAAAACAATTTTCTAGTCATTTCTCAAGAGTAAGTCTTTGCTCTACAAAATATAGAGAACAAAAGATTTAGATTGGGATTCTGGGCAATCAGCTAGCCTTACCAGCTTAAAGACTCACACACATGGAAGGAACACTCTGAGGTAGACAGTTCAAATTCATGGAGTAACAAAATTATAGATTGCTATAAGTCTGTGGACATTGGGATTATTTGTGAGTAGTTGAAACCATCTCAGTGTTCATAAATGTTAGAGTATTACTCATTATGTTTTTGCTTTTGTAAATATTTAAAAATACTTTACTTTATTAGATATTTTAGGGTTCTTAATAAGTATTTTTTATTAAATCGGTATAAGAGCACTATAATAAAGTAAACAAAGGAAAGAGTAATACAAAAACTTTCATTTCTCCCTCAGTCCCAAGCGTATCTTCTGTATCTTTTTAAGACCTGTCCCTGTGCATATCCATATCATTTTTTTTAACTATTCTTCTATTATTTGAAATAGGTCTTTCTCAACTCCTATTTTTTTAAGCATTAAAACTAATAAATGCACCTGGTTAAAAAAAATTAGAACTGTATATAAAGATTTGCAGGGCACCTGGGTGGCTCAGTCAGTTGATCGTCCACCTCTTGGTTTTGGCTCAGGTCATGATCTCACAGTTCATGGGATTGAGCCCTGCGTTGGGCTCTGTGGTGACAGCATGGAACCTGCTTGGTATACTCTCCCTCTGTCTCTCTCTGCCTCTTCCCTGTTCACACACATTCTCTCTGAAAATAAATAAACATATATATGAAAAAAGATTGGCAATAAGAAATATAAATCTCCTCCACTTCCACATACTAGCTTTCTACCCCCAAGAGGAATTTGGGGTTACTTTGATGTTAGAGGAAGAAATGTTCATAAATTTGACTGTACTTAACATCCTACTGTATTTCTATAGGATGTTGTCTTGGAACTTGAATTTGAAGGTATAAAGGAAAAGTTTAGCATGGTCCAAGTGTGGCCTGTACGTCAAGTTCGGCCTGTCACTGAGAAGCTGCCAGCTAATCATCCCTTGTTGACTGGCCAGAGGGTCCTTGATGCCCTTTTTCCGTAAGTTTGAGCTATGTCCTGTGGTTTTTCCTCAGAGGATTATATGTGGTTATTGTTTCCCTGCCTTATAGATATCTTATGTGCTAATGCTATAATAAATTTTATCTAGAGAAATAATAGTAAATTAGTTAAAAATGTTCATATATTGCCAATGTTTATTATGGAGTGAAATCATTGACACAGTTGCAAAAAGAGTATTACTTCTAACACTTTTTGAAAAAATAAAATTTCCAGAAAATCTGTACCCAAACAATATAGCTATCTTTATTTAGCTGTCCTGGAATTAGTAGACTGGTGTCACTATAAATATGGTTTCTAAAATCAACTGGGCTCTCTGTGCTGCCCAGGAATCTTTCTTAATTTATAGTCTGCTGTTTGCCATTTTCTTCATCAGCTGCTTAAAAACCTCAAACCTCTTGTCTTTAAATCTCAGACTTTACCATACTCTGCTTTACTTTCAACAAAAAGACTTCATCATTTATTTCACAGAAAAGACAGAAGCTGTGATACAGTAACTCCTTCAACTTCTGAATCACGAACCCACATACGTCCCACTTAAACCCTTCAAACCTACCCTCTGAGTTGTTCTCACTATTTCTCACAAGATCTTCGATCCTGTGACTTATTAGTCAGCACCTCCTGTTTCCATATCCTTCAGGAACCAGCTTAAGCTTAATAGTCTGTCACTCTTATGGATACTGGCCAATAGACTATATTTTCTTGTTCCTTTGTTTTCTGTCACACTCACCTGGCAAAATCCCAACTGAATCTGTCCAGCCACCTCCTGCTCCCAAGTCTACACACAGGCTGCTGAGAAATTCAGTTAATCAGTGCAAGGTGGTATCTCACTGCTGGGTCCCAAATCCTACTGCATTTCTCTCTTTCCCATTCTCCTGCTCTCCTCAGCAGCTGTTTCAGACCTCTGCACCTGCCTCAGGTCCTGGGCTCTACTCTTCCTTCTTCATTAGCAACAAATGATCATACTAGAGCCTTCACATGTGAAACTCCTTCCATTAATGTACACTTCCATTTGTCCCCTCTCATCTTTCCTCTTTCTGGAGCTTATCGTACCTCATGTCTCCTCAGGGACCTCCCTCTGTAGGTTATCTTCCTTTTATTTCCCATTTCATGAAAAAATATCTACCTTCTATCCTTTTCTCCTTTCTGTCTTCCACTACTTGTCTCCTCATCTTCAGACTCCCTGAAAAAATAAATTAGCCATCTCCACTTTTCCCACTGTAATTCACAGTGCCTGCCCAGCTGGCTTGCCCACAGTTGTAACTACTGTCACTAACATTCTCACTCACTACCATACTGATAATTCAATAAATAAGTTTTGGTATTTCCTTAATTTCTATGACTTTGAATGTTGAATGTTGCTGCCTATTCCTTCCTCCTTGAAACACCCTGTTTTTGTTCTTCCTGTTAGCTTCTATACACAAGTCCTTATTCTCCACTGCAAGTTCCTTCTCGTTTAATTTTGATATTTCTTAGAATTTTTCCCTTTCTGGGGCCCCTTACCCTATGTGGATAACTTTGTCCACTCTAATGACTTAAATCTTCCCCTACATATGATGACTTCCAAATCTGTATCTTCCCCCAGATCTTGTGTGAGTTCCAGACTCACATTTCACTTCTGATCATGCCTCTCCTTTTGAACATCTAATGGGTACTTCTAAGTCAATATGTTCATAGCTAAAATCATCATCTTAATCACCACTCCCTTCCTTGAAACTTGTTCATCTTTTTTTGTTGCCTGTTTCAACGGCTATCATTATCCATCCAGTGAATGCTGAATCTAAAATCTATGATTTCTCTCAAGGATCATTCTTACCTGCTCACATCTAATTATTGAAGAAGTGCTTTTATTCTCTTACCCAGGTATTTTTTATCTACATCTTTCATCCCTACTCCATGATTTTAATTAAGGATCTTACCCTCGGTCCTGCCATAATCACATTTAATTAGACTTCTCCTTAGTCTTGCCTTCTTTCTAAAGGATTGTCCATATTACATAATGACACATCTAAAACACATAACTGGTCCTATACTGTTTTGCTTGAAACCCCAAATGCTTTTTATTGCTCTTAAATCCTCCGGCGCCTGGGTGGCTCAGTCGGTTGAGTGTCCAACTTCAGCTCAGGTCATGATTTCACAGTTCGTGGGTTTGAACCCCATGTTGGGCTCTGTGATGACGGCTCAGGCCTGGAGCCTGCTTCAGATTCTGTGTCCCTCTCTCTCTCTGTCCCTCCCCCACTCATGCTCTTTCTCTCAAAAATAGATAAATATTAAAAAAATATATACTCCTTAACTCCTTATAAAACCATCTGGTCTGTGATCTGGCTATTGCTTACTTTCCAGTATCATGTCAGCCACTTGACTGCCCAGCTTCCTTATGCATCATCTTCCAGGCATCCTGAAGGACTTTTAGTTCCTCAAGCAGTGCTCCCTCTTGCCCCTGGACCTTTGGATATGCTGTTTCCTCTACTTAGAATGTTATTTCCCTTTGTCTGGCTAATTTCTGTTTCCTTTCAGGTCCTTCCCTTCAGAAGGATTTCCTGACCCTACTCCAATCCAGTGTCAGACTTTGCACCCCTTCCTGTGTTTTCCCCTAGCACCTCGGATGTTCTCTTGATAGCATGTTTCACATTGAATTGCTGAACTTCCAAACTGGGGCACACCCAGCCCTGCCTCCCCATCCAAGTTAAAAGTGATTTGAGGGGCGCCTGGGTGGCGCAGTCGGTTAAGCGTCCGACTTCAGCCAGGTCACGATCATCGCTGTATGGTTGACCGTGTCAGAGCTCTGGGCTGATGGCTCAGAGCCTGGAGCTGTTTCGATTCTGTGTCTCCCTCTCTCTCTGCCCCTCCCCCGTTCATGCTCTGTCTCTCTCTGTCCCAAAAATAAATAAACGTTGAAAAAAACAATTTAAAAAAAAAAAAAAAAGTGATTTGAGAGAGGTATACAAAGCCGTAGGATGAATGGACATGCCCTTGGGGTTTATCAGAGTCACTGAAAGGTTTGAGGGAGAGGGACATCTGGGTGGCTCAGTCAGTTGAGCGTCCAACTTCATCTCAGATCATGATCTCACAGTTTGTGAGTTCAAGCCCCACATCGGGCTCACTGCTGTCAGCCTGTCAGCACAGAGCCCACTTCAGATTCTCTGTCCCCTTCTATCTGCCCCTCTTCCACCTTTGCTGTCCCCCCAAAATAAATAAGTATTAAAAGAAAAAAAAAGGTTTGAAGAAGAAAAAAAATGTTTAATATGTATTAGTTTAATTTTGAAGAAGTCTGTCATTATTAAGGTCATAATGTTTCTGTGAATTTTATAATAAAACAGTATTGCAAAGAAATTTCCCTTAGCATTAAATTTCATTTCTCCTGCCCACACCCTCCTGCTCTACATGCACACTTGGCATGTGAACACACACACAGACATACCACACCATTCACTTTGCCCTGCCCTTAAGGATATTTCACTCTCTCTTGCCACTTCTTAGGAAAAGTTTGAATGTAGCTGCTAAATGGCACTATAACCACCAGCTGACTTTGGTTTACACCGCTGGAATGTGAGCTCTGCGTACAGAAACATGGCTATCTTATTTGCTGGTGTCTCTCCAGCCATTTCAAACAGTTTTTAGTGCCTAGGAAGTACTTTATAAATAGTTATTCAGTGTATAAAAGGGGATTGACATAACACCTTAACAAAATTCTTTGTTCATTAACCTTTATAGCAAGATATGATTTTCTTAAGTCTTATTTTTTGCCTCAAGACAACTTAGAAAAGTTGTTTAAATTTTTCTTTTAGCTGTAATTCCTATATTGTGCTTACATGAACTAATTTATATAAACATTCCAAGTATCATTAGTACTGTTTTATTTTCATATTCCTTTTCCCCAGGTACTTTATGGCATGTACCCTCCCAATCTAGCTATTAAAGGTGGTAGAGATGGTTAATGACAATAAAAAACATACACTGTTACAGGTACCAGCTGCGGAAGCAATTACTGTATCTGTATATCTATCTTTGTATATATATAGATACAGATGAAAATGTTTCAAAGTGCTCTGTTTCTTCAACTTGTTTTTCTGTGTCACTTACCTACTTTATTTGTTAGTAGTAATTAGCAAGTGTAGTAATCCACACTTTGTTTTCTCCGCTCAGATGTGTACAGGGAGGAACTACTGCAATCCCGGGGGCTTTCGGCTGTGGAAAGACAGTGATATCGCAGTCTCTATCCAAGTATTCCAATAGTGATGTGATCATCTATGTAGGATGTGGTGAACGAGGAAATGAGATGTCTGAAGTCCTCCGGGACTTCCCAGAGGTCTGTACATACAAAGCTTCAAATATTATTTTAGAGAAAATACCACTAACCAACTTCCTTTGGCAATTAAAAAAGCTTTGTCTTGGACCTAGAGCAATGCTCTGATTTGTCAAGGATCTCTTAAAGAATTTTCTGATTATATTTGTGATTCAATTTGTATATTCCAGGAAAGGAATTTGAATTTTTCTTTTTTTTTTTTTTTTTTTTAATTTTTTTTTTTTTTTTTTTTTTTAATTTTTTTTTTTTTCAACGTTGATTTATTTTTGGGACAGAGAGAGACAGAGCATGAACGGGGGAGGGGCAGAGAGAGAGGGAGACACAGAATCGGAAACAGGCTCCAGGCTCTGAGCCATCAGCCCAGAGCCCGACGCGGGGCTCGAACTCACGGACCGCGAGATCGTGACCTGGCTGAAGTCGGACGCTCAACCGACTGCGCCACCCAGGCGCCCCAGGAATTTGAATTTTTCAAATACTTTAAAGTTTCTATTTGTGGTCTGATGGTTTTCAGTTATTGGGAGGAAGATAAAATAGACAAAATATTTGTAGATGGGAACTTTATATTGGCTTTATATAATCTACTAGGTTGCTAAAGTAATATTCCTTTTTCCATAAAATAATGGATTTCATTTATGCAGTGGAAATAATGCCTGTCTTCTTTCCAGCACAGTGGGGCAGGGGGGAGAGGTTGGAGTGATGAGAAATACTACTTTGGGAAAACTGATTATAAGAGGGATTAAATATGGGTAAGTTGTAAAAGCGGGGACTAAAATGTTCTGTTTGGAGATGGGAGGGTCATAATCGATTGTTTGCTTCTAGCTCACAATGGAAGTCGATGGTAAGGTGGAATCAATTATGAAGAGGACAGCTTTGGTAGCCAATACCTCCAATATGCCTGTTGCTGCTAGAGAAGCTTCTATTTATACTGGTGAGTATATGAATTGAAATAAAAGCAGTGTACATCTGTTCTTAAGTTTAAAGCTAGCACCAAACCTTTTCTTTTTCCAAAGAACTTTCCTTTCATTCTAAAATACTTTGTGTGTACAACCATATTCCTAGCTTTTAAAAAATGGTGCACAGGGGCGCCTGGGTGGCTCAGTCGGTTAGGCGTCCGACTTCAGCTCAGGTCACGATCTCGCGGTCCGTGAGTTTGAGCCCCACATCGGGCTCTGGGCTGATGGCTCAGAGCCTGGAGCCTGCTTCCGATTCTGTGTCTCCCTCTCTCTCTGCCCCTCCCCCGTTCATGCTCTGTCTCTCTCTGTCTCAAAAATAGATAAACATTAAAAAAAAAAAATTAAAAAAATGCACAAAAATGAATAAATCAATAAATAAAAATAAAAAATGCTTTATGTACTATAAATGCTTTATGTACATATGAGGATATGTCAGTATATTTCTAGAATTGTCTCAATCTTGTTAATAACCAGAAAACGATGTTATCTTCTACCATTTTTTTTTTCATTACATGTTTTACCATTGTTCTAAACTCCAAATAAATCTGTATGTCTGTAACTTTAATGATGACCTTTGGATTAGTATATTTTGATGGCTGGATATAAAAGATAAGAAAATCAGTGCACTTATGTGTTACCTCCCATATTTGCTCCCACTTCTATCCCTGCTTTTTGGTACTTTTATTTCTACATTTTCAGATTTATGATATTCACATTCTATGTGTAACCATGCATACAATATTCGTATTAGCCTTAAACCTAGAGTAAAATGGAGTCAGTCCCCACAGGCACTCTTTTGGCTAGAATTTCTCCATTTATTTTGTGGTTGGCTAAAATCTGACTTTTGAAAGTTTCCTCAAGAAAGTCTCAGGGAAACTACATTCTATGAATTCTTATTTCTTCATAAGTTTGTTTTTTTCTACTGCCTTTAAATTTTCTTTTTTGTTTTTTTTTTTTTAATGTTTATTTTTGAGAGAGAGAGAGAGAGAGAGAAAGAGTGTGAGCAGGGGAGGGGCAGAGAGAGAGGGAGACACAGAATCTGAAGCAGGCTCCAGACTTCGAGCTGTCAGCACAGAGCCCAGCATGGGACTCGAACTCACAAGCCATGAGATCATGACCTGAGCCTAAGTCAGATGTTTAACTGACTGAGCCATGCAGGCACACCTGTTTTTGTTTTTGTTTTTGTTTTTGTTTTTGTTTTTGTTTTTTTAAGGAATCTCTACCCCCAGCATGGGGCTCAAACTCATGACTCTGAGATCAAGAGTTGCATGCCCTTCCGACTAAGCCAGCCAGGCACCCCAATACTGCCTTTAAATTTTAATAGTAGTTTGGTTGAGTATAAAATGTTTTGGATCAATGTTTGTTTCCTTGAGAACTTTTATTGTAGCACTAAATACAAGGGAGGGATCTGAAGCCAACCTGCTTTTTTTTCCTTTTATGGCAGATTTTTTTTTTTTTTTTTCCCAAAGGAATTTCTCCTTCAATTTAAAGTTTTATAACTTTTGGGCACCTGGGTGGCTCAGTCAATTAAGCGTCTGCCTTCTGCTTAGGTCATGATCCCACAGTTCTTGAGTTCAAGCCCCGCATCAGGCTCTGTACTGACAGCTCAGAGCCTGGAGCCTGCTTTGGATTCTGTGTCTCCCTCTCTCTCTGCCTCTCCCCCAATCATGTACTGTCTCTTTCTGTCTCTTAAAAATAAGTAAACATTAAAAATTTAAAAAAATAATAAAGTTTTACAACTTTATTAAGATATATGCCAATATTGATAGTTTTGATAAATTTTTCCTGAGGCGTACTTTTTCAGCTTATGAACGTGTCTTTCATTTTGGAAAATTTTCAAGAATTGTTTCCCAAACTTTTCTCTTCTGCTATGGTTATCTTCTTCAAACTAGACATATTGGATCTCCTTTATCTGTTTACCTTATATATCTTACCTTTCTAATCCTTTTTATTTAGCCTTTTGTTCATTTGCTCACAGGATATTCAGTGGTTATTCTTTGCTTTGCTGCTAATGAAACGTTCATTTCTGTAATGGCTTTATTTTTTTCTTCCAGCTCTTTGTTGAGCTCTGCTGGCTCATGAAACCTCTTTTCTGACCTTACTGTATATTCCTTGAGATTTTATTGTGTGGTAGGATGCGTTATTAACAGTTTCTTTCATTAATTTCTCATGGTCACAGTTTTCACCTGTTCCTTGGCAGGTTCTTTGGCCATCATTGTATTTGCTCTTCTGTCCTTTTTCTTCTTGTATTTTGTGTAGTTCCCATACTGATATGTATTGTTACTATTACTCATCTCTGCAGGAGATGGGAAGGGAGACAGGATTGCTTCATGGCAATCTGTGGAGTTTGTTATGGCATGGAGTTGTGTAAGTTACTTTGATCTTCTCCTGCCAACAGAAATCTACTGCCACAAGGTCACTTACAGTGCATTCTTTCTCTTCTACCCTGCCTCACCCACTTTTTCCTCACTGTAAAAGAGTGCCTACCTGCATTTTGTTTGTCCCCATCACCCTGCTTCTCCTTGATGCCATACTGGATCCAAGGAACTCCTGCCAGTACCCAGTATCCCTTGTGCAGTATTCCAAACAACGGATTCTTGGCTTTGCCCCAGTTTTACAAAAGCATAATCTGAGATGTTCAGCTTCAGGTGAATTCTTGGGGTCTTCCCACATCCTTGTTTGGGTTTTACCTCATTTAGGTGGCTTTCCTCATTATTTTGTTCTGTAGCTAAACATGTCCCCTAGTTTTTGGTAATAGAGTTTGTGTTTTTTATACTTCTTGTTCTCCTTGTTTGGTGATTACTTTTATGAGAAGGGAAAAGGGATATATTCACCTATTATTTTAAGACAAGAAGTCTACCTACTTTTTCTAAATGGCTGCACAGTATCCCTTCTGTATGGCTGTATCATAATCTATTTACCAGCATCCTTCCGGTAGACACATAAATTATTGACAGGTTTTGTTTTTTTGTTTTTTGTTTTTGTTTTGGGTTTTGTTTTGTTTTTTTGGTTTTTTTTTTTGCTGTCACAAACCTTGATTCACTAAAACATCCTTGTGTATGTTTTTTACAGTTTCTTTTCATGTTTTGTGCATGTGTTTCTTTGTACATTTTTGTAAGGTAAGTTTATAAAAGTAAAATTGCTAAGCATACAACTGTTAATGTGGATCTTAGATATTGATAGCTCTTCAAAAAGGATATGAGTGAACAAGAGTTCTGTTTCCCCACATCTTCACCAGTGCTATGTTTTGTAATGCTTCCTAATGATAATTATCAAACACACAGTGAACGCTGATGTACTCAGCACCTAGATTTAACAATTTACTATCCCTGCTTTATAGATACGTATTCAGTCTGCGCTCTGTCTCTCTCTCTCTCTCTCTCTCAAAAATAAAAAGACATTAAACAAAAAAAAAAGGCAGGGAGGCGCCTGGGTGGCTCAGTTGGTTGAGCATCCTACTTCAGCTCTGATCACGATCTCTTGGTTCACATGTTTGAGCCCTGCATCAGGCTCTGTGCTGACAGCTCAGAGCCTGGAGCCAGTTTCAGATTCTGTGTCTCCACCTCTCTCTGCCCCTCCCCTGCTCACACTCTGTCTCTCTCTCTCTCAAAAATAAATTTTAAAAAACATTTAAAATTTTTTAAAATAAAGATACTGATTCAGTCTGTATTTCTTTCAGCTAATATCTTTCCTATCTGTATTAACTAATTGAAAGCTGCATTCTGTCCATTTTCCTTTTGGATAGGAGTTATTTTTCATACTGATTTATGAAAGCTCTTTGAAATTAGTCTTTTATCTGTCATGAGTTGGCCAGTGTTTTCCCAGTTTGTTCATTTTTTTATTTTGTCTGGGTTTTTTTTTTTTTTTTTAAACTAGTAGGCACTGAAAACTCTTTGAAGTTTACTCATATGTATCTGTTTCTTCCACCAAGTCTCCCTAATACATTATCACAGAATATTATCACAGAGGCTTAAAGTGCAGCTATGTATGCTCATATAAGTGAGGATCTGATCCTATCATCAGATTGAAATATGTGATAACTATTTTTTTAAGCCTTTTTAAATGTTTATTTATTTATTTTTGAGAAAGTGCAAGCCGGGGAGAGGCAGAAAGAGAGGGAGAGAAAGGATCCCAAGCATGCTCCACACAGTGCTCAGGGCTCTGTCTCATAACGCCTGAGATCATAATCTGAGCCAAAATCAAGAGTTGGTCACTTAAGCAACTGAGTCACCCAGGCACCCCTTTTTTTAAAACTTAATAATGAGAAGCAATATTTTTTTTAAAGACTTTGTTCATGGAATCATTTTTTTAGAAGCCTTAGATATCGATTTCTTATTCTGAAAGTACAATATGATAAATAGTAAAGCGCTGAATTTTCGAGCACTATTTTGTTTTACTTATATAAGACTTTTTCTTTACTGGTAAAATAAAGGAATCAGGGCATTAGATTTTGAGACTATTATGATTTAGTAAAGGCGTTTATACATATCATTTCATCTGATATACACAAGTAGGTAGAACAAGAGTTATTCCATTTTAACAGATTAGGAAATAACACTGGGAAATGAAGTTAGTTGTGGAGATTAATCAGAGAACAGGAGCTAGAACCCAGGACTTCTTTCTGTCTATTAGCTTCTTCTAAATGGTTTACTCTAAGTGATTTAACAGAACAGAACCTGGTATACACAGGAGAATGATCTGGATAATTAAGGTATTACTTGTGTTAACATTTGTTGCATTTGAAAAATAAGCTAATTAGTTGATGGTTTTTGGTATATGTGTATGTGATACGTAGACAAAAGCTGCAATGGGAATTAATTTCAGACTTAATTGTCTCACAAAAAATAGAGAAAAAGTCTTTTCCTGGTTTTTAAAATGTACAATATTGGGATACCTGGATGGCTCAGTCAGTTAAGTTTCTGACTTTGGCTGAAATCACGATCTCTCGGTTTGTGGGCTCAAGCCCTGCGTTGGGCTCAGAGCCTGGACACAGATTCTGTGTCTCCCTCTCTCTGTCCCTCTCCCACTCATGCTCTGTCTCTCTCAAAAATAAATAAACATAAAAAAATTAAATGTACAATATTAGAATAGGCTATGGCAACAAATAAACCCAAATTTGTCATTGCTCAGGATTACAGATGTTTTTTTTTTTTATTTTTTTTTTTTCAACGTTTTTTATTTATTTTTTTTGGGACAGAGAGAGACAGAGCATGAACGGGGGAGGGGCAGAGAGAGAGGGAAACACAGAATCGGAAACAGGCTCCAGGCTCTGAGCCATCAGCCCAGAGCCCGACGCGGGGCTCGAACTCACGGACCGCGAGATCGTGACCTGGCTGAAGTCGGACGCCCAACCGACTGCGCCACCCAGGCGCCCCTACAGATGTTTTTTTTAAGTGGTTAGGGGGACTCTTCTTCGTTCTGTCATTCTGGGCTGGGACCCAGGCTGAAAAGTACTCTTCCGTTTTCAACTCCTGACTTTCAGGGCTGCTGGGAGTCCTGTCCATCTCAGTAAGCCAGAAAGAATAAAGAGCATGGAAGGATGTGTGGCATGCCTGATGATGGAACTCATTACTTCAACTTTCATTCTGTTAGCTAGAGGTCAGTTACCTGGTCATATCTAAATACAAAGGAAGCTAGGAAATATAATTTGGCTGTATGCACAAAAGAAGGGGGATTTTGGTGAACAGCTAACAGTCTGCCTCATGTATTTATTGCTTTAAAGTTTTCTTAATGATGACAAAGTCAGGATTCTACATTATAGAATTATAACTTGTAATATTCTCCCCAATTTAGGAATTACGCTGTCAGAATATTTCCGTGACATGGGTTATCACGTCAGTATGATGGCTGACTCTACCTCTAGATGGGCGGAGGCCCTTAGAGAAATCTCTGGTCGCTTAGCTGAAATGCCTGCAGGTGAGTCTTTGTATTGCTTATTATATTAAAAGGCTGATAGGATTTTTAGGACTGGCTTAGAACCTCCCTTAAATTTCTTTTCACGGGGCTCCTGGGTGGCTCAGTTGGTTGAGCATCCACCTTCACCCAAGTCGTTATCTCATGGTGCATGAGTTGGAGCCCTGCATCGAGCTCTATGCTGACAGTGTGGGGCTTGGAGCCTGCTTCAGATTCTGTGTCTCACTCTTCGCCCCTCCCCCGTTCGCTCTCTTTCTGTCTCTCTCTCTCTGTCTCTCTCTTTCAAAAATAAACATTAAAATTTTTTTTTTTTTTTTAGTTAAAGAAAAAATTTTCTTTTCGCTTTTCAGATAGTGGATATCCTGCGTACCTTGGTGCCCGTCTGGCCTCTTTCTATGAGCGAGCAGGCAGGGTGAAATGTCTTGGAAATCCTGAAAGAGAAGGAAGTGTCAGCATTGTAGGAGCGTAAGCACCTAAACTATTTACTCTTCAAAAGAAGAATAAAAAGTCATATATTTTAAAGAGAAAATATTCAGCTTCCTCTGAGGGTAGTGGTTCTTAACCACTGCAGGGTCACCCGAGGAGCTCTTTACAATGTACACGTTTAGGTTATCTCTGCACTGATTTTTTTATATTCAAGTCACAATATCTTACGAGTAACTTAGAAAATTATAGACGTGTTTAAGTAAGATTGTATGGAAAAACAAAGTGGAGATCCATGATCACTACCTAAAGCCATACTTTGTTCTTAGAGTTTTTTCTTCCTTCCTGCTTCATCTATTCGATTAGAGTCATGAAATTGATTATGTCTCTCATATTTTGCACTTGAAGGCATTCAATAGTTACCATTCTTATTTGCAATTTAGTATTGATTTTTATTAATATTTGTATGTAGATTTTCTTTTCAAAGGTTAGTTCTAAAGTTATTTACATTAAAATTAACTTCTAAAAAACTTTTACTTTCATATACCGGCTGTGTTTTCTTAAGCTTTTCTAATGACTTTTTTTCTTTTAAATTTAGGGTTTCTCCACCTGGTGGTGATTTTTCTGATCCAGTTACATCCGCTACTCTTGGTATTGTTCAGGTATACCTTTTCCTAGCATAGTCAACTTCTGAGCTTTCCCACCCTTACCCTAATGTTACCTAATCATCGTGAAGTATTAAATTTACTCATTAAAAGTAGGCAGTAGGAAGGTTTGTTTTAGGAACATTCTTGTCACTGAGAGTTTTTATTCTGTCCATTCTTTCTTAGCTCTTTGCTGAAGATTTATGAAATTTAATTTCTGTAAGTGGAAAATATATCTGGAATAGCAAAGTTTTATTAGTATTAGAATAATACTACCCTTTAAATGAGAGTAACCCTGGTTGTAGAAACAAATAGGCCTAAAAATGCATAATGACAAAAACCCAGTAGAAGTTTCTTTTTCCTCATAGTATGGTCTAAAGCAGATGATCCTATCAGAGGGCAGCTCTTTTCCATATACTAATAATTCACAGACCAGAGGTCCTTCCAGCTTGGGCTCCACCATCATCACCTAGACTGTTAACCATCTGCATCTTGCTGCCACAAGTGGAAACTGTGGAGAAGGCACACCCACTCTGTGAACTTTGGGCTCCAGTGCAATCCCCCACTCATTCTGTTAGCCACACCCAGATGAAAGCAAAGCTGGAAAGTGTAGTTTCTGCCTACGCAGCTGCCTCCCAGTGACAAGGCATGAATGGTAGTGGATAGCTAGCCAACTTGGCCATTAAGAGAAGCCTAAGTGAAAGATGTATACAAATCAGGACTATAGTAAAGAAAATAAATGTTGATATATTCATAAGTATTATTCATGTGAGAAAAAGAATATTTGCTTACGTTTCTGTCAATATCTGATAAAAAGAAATGTCAGGCTAAATGTACAGCTCTCAAGGTGTTTAACCTTTGCTAACATTTTGAGTTTAAATTGCAGGGAAAGGAGGAGTAAAGTCAAGAAGGTATAAAATATAGGGGTTCCTGGGCGGCTTAGTTAAGCGTCCAACTTTGGCTCAGGTCATGATCTCACACCTTTTTTGTGTGTTTGAGCGTTGCATCAGGCTCTGTGCTGACAGCTCAGAGCCTGGAGCTGCTTCAGGTTCTGTGTCTTCTTCTCTGTCTCTGCCCCACCCCGGCTCTAACTCTGTGTCTCTCAAAAGTACATAAACATTAAAAAACAAAACAAAATGGGGTGCCTGGGTGGCTCAGTTGGTTAAGCAGCCTACTTCAGCTCAGGTCACGATCTCACGGTTGATGAATTTGAGCCCCATATCAGGCTCTGTGCTGAGAGCTCAGCGCCTGGAGCTGCTTCAGATTCTGTCTCCCTGTCTCTCTCTGCCCCTCCCCCACTCGGGCAGTCTCTTTCTCTCTCAAAAATAAATAAACATCAAAAAATTTTTTAAAAAAGTAGAAAACTTTTTAAAATGACTAAAATATATATGAACATTTGGCCTTTGAAAAATGATTGGTAGATTTATTGAGTTGACCCTTCATGATAGGGAATCCAAGTTAATCAGAATGTTTCCAGGTTTTTAATCAAAGGGAAGAATCTGTTCTTTCTCTATAGACATTTTCTGGTTCCTCTGTTTATATTGTACCATAATAAATCTTCAAAGGAGTCAATTTTTTTTTTTCTATCAGATTTGCCATACTATTGAGGAAATTCAGATACAATTTGAATTTGACTATAATTCTCCTGAAACTAAAAGAAATATATTTTTTAATTCTAAGTTTTATTCTATTTCAGTTACACATGGTATATACTAAAAAGATAATTTGACCAAAAAATTACAGAATTGCATATTTAGAACAAACAAATATACTTCAAGGCTTTATTTATTTACTTATTTAAGAAAAATCATGAATTTGTTTTTGTTTTTGTTTTTTTTACATCAGGTGTTTTGGGGCTTAGATAAGAAACTAGCTCAACGTAAGCATTTCCCCTCTGTCAACTGGTTAATCAGCTATAGCAAGTACATGCGTGCGTTGGACGAGTACTATGACAAACACTTCACAGAATTTGTTCCTCTGAGGACCAAAGCTAAGGAGATTCTGCAGGAAGAAGAAGACCTGGCAGAAATTGTACAACTTGTTGGAAAGGTGAGTAGTTAAGCCCCATGGAGGACAGATCTAGGAGTTATACTGGTGTGTTTTAAGGACAGAGAGAACCTTGGATTCTTGCCTAGCAAAATGAGTCTTTATTAAATGTTTTTTAAAATAATGGAATTTTAGCTTAGCCTTTATCCAGTAGATATTTGAAGGTCCTATTTATGTTATGGAAGGTAGAAAGATGATTATTGTTTTGATTATCTACTATTGAGTAACAAACCACTCCAATACTTTTGAGTGTTTGAACAGTGTTTTACTGCTCATAGTTTCGGGGCTGATTTTGCTTGGGCCCCTCATACAGTTGCAGTCATATGGTGGCTGAGGCTGGAGTCATCTGAAAGTTTCTTCCCTCGCAGGTTTAGTGCCTGGGCTGGGATGGCTAGAATGGCTATGGGTTAGCTGGACATTTGTCCCTCCATGTAGTGTCTCCACATGTCAGTTTAGGGCTGTCAGACAGAGTATATAAAAAGAAAGAAAGTGGAAACCAACAGCCTCATAAGCCGGGGCCCCCAAACTAGTATATCTATCACTTCTGTTTTATGTTCTGGTCAAAGCAGGCACAGAGCTTTCCTAGGTTAAAGAAGAGGGGCTTGCACTTCAAAATGGTCAACCAGAAGGAGGAACTAAATTGTTAGAGCCTTTATATTCTTTTTGATCCTCTATAGTGCTTTGCATGGTCCTGGTTATATTGTAGATGAGAAAGAAACACTGGATTTACTTTTATTTCTTGAAATAGAACATACCCATCACCAACCAAATTAGAAGTGCCGTGCTTTGGATCAATTTTATTTTTGCAGGAGCACCAAAGCTAGGAATCAGAAGGATTGGATGCTAGTTTGTTTTTTTTTTTGATAATAGCTGTGTGACCTTAAACACGTGACTTGTATTCTTGTGTCTGTGTCTTGATGTTTCAAAGGAGGGTGGTATAATTAAATTTGGCCAGATTAAATTCCAGAGTTGAATGACTTCTCAGATGGTATGCAGTGCTAGTCAGGATGTCCGTTTCTCTATCTGGCTCTGTTCTTTTTATTATATGTTATAAAGTCACCTCCTAATTTGTTTTCCACAACCGATAGTATTATTAGCTAACTAGCACATATTAAATACTCATTTTTTATAAATGAGTACTATGGCCCTGGTTAAGAGGAAGTAGAAACAGAAGACCTCCAGAACCAAAGACAATATAAGAAAAGACAATCACAGGGGCATTTTGTTTGTGAATATAGATCTCAAATTCCTAAATTAAATATTACTGTTTACTAGATTCTGTAGGGTATTAAAAGAATAAAATAACACAAGTAAAGTTTATCTCAGGAATGCAAATATGATTCAACACAAAATCTGTTATTGTAACTCACCAGTGTAATTAATGTAATGAAAAAGGGATATCTCAACCAATGTGGAAAAAGCATTCGAAGTTCATTACTTATTTATAGTTTTTAAAAATCTCTTAGTAAGCAAGGAATAGAGGGGAATTTCCTTAATTTGTTAAAGGTAATATACTAAAACCTAGGGAAAATATTTTACTTAAAGGAAAAACTTCTGATGCATTCTGTTTAAATATCAGGATTAAAACAAGAATACTTACTATCACTGCTAATGCTCAAATACCAGAAGACCTAATCAATGATGTAAGAAAAGAGAAAACTTGTAAAGAAAGAAATTAAAATATCATTATATAATAAGAAAAATAACAATTAATAGAGAAATGATTAGAACTAATAGAAGTTTGGTGAGGGTTTCAAGATAAACAAAAAATCAAGAAAATGTTTCTGTATTAGCAATAGCAGTTAGAAAATAAAACTAAAAATAAGGTGTCCACAATAGTAACAAAAATGAGAATGTAGGAACTAATCAAAAATAACATTATTCTGTGGAAAACATTTTAAAACTAATAAATGAAACAAAATCTGAAGACATAGAGAGACAGTCCAAGGTCTTAGATAGACTTATTAGGTAGATAGCACTTTAATCTATAAATTTGATGTGATGCCAGTCAAATTCCTGGTTACATCTTTTGTACAAATTAGTAACCATTCAAAAATTCATTTGCTATCACAAATACTATTCTTTAAAAAAGAATAATAAAAAGGGAGATTTTACTCTATTGGATATGAATACAAAACATTGTGATAAAAACATGTGTTATTGGTGAAATAACAGACAAATAGATCAGTGAAAGAAAACAGAAATGTACTCAAGTATATATAGACTTTTCATATGGCAAAGATGGTATCACAATTCGAATGCAGGGAGGATGGATTGTTTTAGTGATGATGGAAAACTATTTTAAATTGGAGAAAAATAAAAATGCAGCATTACCTAATTCCACACACAAAACTAGACTCCAGATTAGCAATTTAAATGTGAAAGATGAGACTTTCAAGTTAATAGACGCAAACGTTAAGAGAATATCTCTGTGATCAATGGTTGGAAAAGGGCTTTTTAAACAAACCCCCATGCGTACACACAAGCAATTAAAAAAAAAAAGATTTTGATTTTATCAAATGCAAGGATTTTTGTTCACCAAAGGCCTATCATGGATAGAGGTGACAAAACAGATGACTGATTGGGAGGGAGATTGCAACATCTAAAACTGATGAACTGTTACCTAACAGTTAAGTTAACAAGAAGATTAGAACTCCCAACAGACATGGACAAAGGAAGTAGCAGACAGATTATAGAAGAGGAGAAGAGAAAAAATGCAAAAGATTAAGAAGCCTGTGGAGAAATGCTCAAACGATAATGAAATATCATGTCATACCAGTGAAAATGGCAAATATCAGAAAGCTGGATAACGCCAGCTGGTGTGAGGACAGAGGAATGGTGTGCTGTTGGTGGGAGTGTCATCTGGGCTGGCATCGTGGAGAGCAGTGACAGTACTTGCTTGTATATCCTGTGACGTAGCGGTTCTGTTTCCGGATATTTATCTCAAAAGAAATTCCCAAACAGGTCCTTAAATGGACACGTTTGTGGTGGCAGGGAGTTAGAGGAAATCTCAGTGCTTTCTACGGGGGCAAAGATGGAAAATAAAAATAGAGAAGAAGCATACTGTGGAAAATGAGGTATGCAAGAGCTAGAAGCAGACTGTGTGACACACAGCAACATGGCTGGATCTGAAAAAGTGCCAAAGACACAACTAAAACTGCCTTACATAATTAAAAATACTATTACAAAATAAAATACCCATTTCACATGAATTTATGCACATAAAAGAATACACATAAAACATTTGAATACTTGCCTGTGGTTGAAGAGGAGATTAGGGAGAAAAGGGATTTAAAAAGCAGGAAAAAGAAAAGAAACAAGACCTGATCCTTACCTCTAAGGATCTTAGTTGTAAAAAGATAACAAAAGACTACAGTTAAGGGACACCTGGCTGGCTCAGTCAGAAGAGCATGTGACTCTTAATCTCAGTCGAGAGTTTGAGCCCACGTTGGATGTAGACATTACTTAAATAAAATTTTTTAAAAAATGCGTGGGGCGCCTGGGTGGCGCAGTCGGTTAAGCGTCCGACTTCAGCCAGGTCACGATCTTGCGGTCCGTGAGTTCCAGCCCCGCGTCAGGCTCTGGGCTGATGGCTCAGAGCCTGGAGCCTGTTTCCGATTCTGTGTCTCCCTCTCTCTCTGCCCCTCCCCCATTCATGCTCTGTCTCTCTCTGTCCCAAAAATAAATAAACGTTGAAAAAAAAAAAAAATGCGCTGCATTCCAGTCATTAAAAAAAAAAAAAATAGTTAACTTACTGAGCCTGTCCCTTTCCCACAATTCCCAAGAAATTTTTACCTGTTAGTCTAATTAGGGTGATTGTAAAAGTTAAAGCTTTTGAGGCAGTGATATTTAAAGAAGCTCTAACAGCAATTCCAATAAAATAGCACTGACATAAATAAGTACATGCTTCCTATACTTTGCATTTATATAGTTGTAAACACCATGTAATGTTTTTTAAAAATTAACTGTTTATGAAATGTATAGATCTTGAAACAAACTTAAGGCTCAAAATTCAAATAATTAAGCTAGGAAGCCAGGATGTGAGGAAGAAAGTATTTCAAAAAAAAGAAGAAAGTTAATTTATTTGTATACATACCATGTTCATAGTAGCACCTATTCACAATAGCTAAGGGGTGGAAACAACCCACTGTCCTTTGATGAATGGATAACCAAAATGTGGTGCATGTATGTATATAATGGAATATTATCCAGCCTTAAAAAGGAAGGAAAATTCTAACAACTACAGAATGGATGAACCTTGAGGACACTACGTAAAGTGAAATAAGGTAGTCACAAAAACACAAATATTGTATGATTTTGTCTAAAGCAGTCACATTCATAGAAACAGAAAGTAGAATGGTGGTTACCAGGGTCTGGGAGAGGGGGAGAAGGAGAGTTGCTATTTAATGGATGTAGAGTTTCAGATTTGCAAGATGACCAGTTATGGTAATCTGTTTCACAACAATGTGAATATACTTAACATTACTGAACTACACTTAAAACTGGTTAAGATGGAAATTTTTATCTTAAATGGTTTTTACCACAATAAAAAAAAATTAACAAGCAGTTATAAAGTGAATTTATTAATGATAGGTGATTGTGTATTGATTATATAGTTTTTGTTTGCTTAATTGCTTATAATCACTGATCCCACATTATGGAAGTAAATTTTTAAAAATGTATTTTTTTCTCTTTTAGGCTTCTCTAGCAGAAACAGATAAAATCACTCTGGAAGTAGCAAAACTTATCAAAGATGATTTCTTACAACAAAATGGGTATACTCCTTATGACAGGTAACCTATCCTGATTATTTTCTTTTTTTATTTGAGGATTTTCTGTTGGATTTTGAAGAAAGAGCTGCCTTCACATTAGAATTCTTTTTTTTTTTTCTTCAAATGCAGACGCAACTCTGACTCAATTTATGTTCTTTGGATTGTTATAGCAAACATCTCACAATCTAATATGTACCCTTGTCTTGATTTTGCTTATTTGTGCAGTTATGACAGTATTTTCACTCATTGCCCAGCCATCTTTAAGTAGATTAGATTATGGCATAGTGTGCAGAATGAGGGGATCATTGCCTCCTTCAGAAGCTTTTCTCAATACCCCTTACAACTGCCCATGCCTCTTCTATTCTTTTCCTAAATAAGTATGTCCTACTTTCGTGCTTCATTTCCCAGTAGACTTAGTCTCTTTCTTTCTGCCAGTCTCTGTTAGATGTCCCATTTGTCTCTGCATTTACTGTGGCTTATTTAAAGTCTCCATTTCTTTTCTTTTATTTTTTTTTAATTTTTTAATGTTTGTTTATTTTTGAGAGAGAGAGACAGACAGAGTGTGAGCAGAGGAGGGGCAGAAAGAGAGGGAGACACAGAATCCGAAGCAGGCTCCAGGCTCTGAGCTGTCAGCACAGAGCCCGACGCGGGTCTCATATGAACTGTGAGATGATGACCTGAGCCAAAGTCAGACTCTTAACCGACTGAGCCACCCAGGTGCCCAAGTCCCTATTTCTTTTAAACTTTGATAGTATTGAGCCCTTTCATCATAGGCTAGCTTTTCTCCCTCAGATCATAGTTGGACTGAAGAAGGAACTGAACAAATAGGATTATGAGAATGTAGGACAAGCAGAAAATATGATAACATAAATCTCAAAAATCTGTATCAGGAAGTTAAGTTCTGGCCACCCATACAAAAATAACTCAACCAGGGGAAAATTCTTTGGAAAGCATAATACAGAATGTTCATGAAATTGTGCATGCAAGTGTGTTTGAATGTGTCAGGAAGTTGATAAGAATGCTTGTGATCCAAGTTGAGTATTAATGTGTGTGTCCTCATTATTAAAAGGTATGGGTAAGTGAAAATGAACACATTAATGGGGGAAGGGGTTACTGTTCATTTTAGGAAATTACATTTTTCTGTTTTCCTATTATTCATTAAACCTTTACCCCACTATCACAAGGGAGTCTTTGCAACTCAGTTATTTTACCATTTGGGTTACTCCTTTAACTGCACTGTATGAAAACAGACCCTCAGAGATTAGATTATAGCAGTACTCAGTCATTAGATTATAGCAGTACTGTTTAATTGTTCTTCCTCTTTATTTATTTATTTTTTTTAACATTCATTTATTATTGAGAGACAGAGAGAGACAGAGCATGAGCATGGGAGGGGCAGAGAAAGGAGGAGACACAGAATCTGAAGCAGGCTCCAGGCTCCGAGCTGCCAGCACAGAGCCCGACATGGGGCTTAAACTCACAAACCGCGAGATCATGACCTGAGCTGAAGTCGGACGCTCAACCGACTGAGCCACCCAGGCGCCCCATCTTTAGTT